AGACTCAAACCAGCGCGCATTCCGTATCACCAGTCCGAAGCATGATGCCTCAGACCGCGCGGGACCTTAAGGCCGATATATGTGGTACTAAATATTAAATACATACCTGTAGGTACACTTTTAATCTATCCAGTGGGGCAGTGCACGTCCTAGAAACAGCTCCAGCAATACCTCCAGCAAGAAGATGTCTCCACCACTGACCAGACGCAATCTCCGACGGTGTAAAATCATCTGGTACATTCAAGTCTTCTCCGATGTCCAGGTACTATATAAAAAGCATCTAAAGAATTAATTCATATGACAAATTAAATTAGGCTTGATTCAAACAGCTGCAAAGCACATATCTCCTGCCAAGTTTGTAATAAATCATGATAATAACACTTCCAGCAATATCTAAATATCGCGCATGCAAGGTGTTTCATATATCGCGCATGCGCATATAATTGTATGTTCGCTTATGGCGTGAGGAAGAATATATTAATTTGGATCAAACTTGGCATCCTTGGCAACAGGAGGAGACTACAAACAGTAAGGTTAGACGTAAAAACTCCATAAAACTGTAAAGAGTTTCAGTGTCTGGGAGGAAGGTCCAGAGGTCGGAAACTTTGATAGATAGAAGAATTGCGCAAAGATCAAACTTCTTTGTTTCCACGAAGATAGTACAGAAACAAAGATTAAAGCCTCGAAAATCAGTCCTACGTTCGAGTCCGGGTGAAGATGGCTTCTATAAGCCAGGAAAGCTACAGAACATTTAAAATGCGTTACACAAAAACTTGGGGGGGGGGGGAAGAGAAAAAAATGCCCGGATTTGGCTTAGGTAAAAGCTGGCAACCCTACCAATAATACAGTAATGCCAAGCATTGAATCAATGCCAGAAGGCATCAGGAAACAACTGCCGACTAGTCTTCGCTCTTCAAACAGACGTATCAACTGATGACGTAAGATTCGCTCAGCTACTTTTGTATTTGTCGCATTGTTTCGAGGAAAACACATCAAGGTAGAGGTTATGTTCTGTCTACTGCTTTCTTGGAGATGTACAGGAAGTGACGTAATCAAGGCAGTGGATGACTATTTCGTCGGCATCTATTTGGCAGGACAAAATAAAGGCTTTCTACCTAACATCCAATATTATTATTAAACGTTGCCATGATGCCGTTATAAGGAGGCTACATTTGTGCACATTTAAAGCCAAAAATCTGGAAATACAAACCTATTTCTGGCTGGTGCAGACTAAAATGATGAGAATGCCTTTTAACTAAGGCATTATTGAAAACAAGTCAGTATCTTCGGCACCTTAAATGTTACAATGATAATTGACATGTTAAGAAATCTCAAACCATCTACACCCATAACTGCAAACGAATTTGGAAAACGTTCATAAAAAGCGTTTTCCAATGCAATGTATAGTTACTTTAACTTTTGAATATTTTTTCCCGAAAAAGCCGAGGCCTACAACATGGATTTCAAAATTGTCTAGGCCTGTGGCTATATTCGCCCTTGATCAATTCGCGGACCTAAGGCCATAAATGAGCAGTTTATTAAAATGCCACGGCAATTTATTAAAGCGCTACACAATTACTGCTTTTCCATAACGAATCTTTCAATACGAAATTCAATTTCTGTCGTGATTTGAATGTTTCCATTAAGCTGAACACTTGCTGATAGCCACAGCTGTATTTCGAGCACTCACATAAACAGAACTTGTTTTATGTGTGGAAATCTCACGCACAACATGAAATCTACTTTCATTTCCTGACGCTTTCCTGGGTAGTGATGAAATATTTTAAACCTTGGCTTCGACGATTTCACTGCCGTCCCATTCTGAGGCGCTTCAATCCGTGTGAGAAGAGGACGACGTGACGTCATGAGGACTAGTAGCTGGGCACCAACATTCCAGATGTACTATTCCACCCAAGCCTCCATCTTCAGGGCTGAAGACGAAGGCGGTATGATCTTGTGATCTTTCTGAACACTGTCAACACGGCCTAACAACGCAAAAGACCACCGTGGGCGCCTCAACCCGCTTCAGCCACTTCCCCTCTCCCCACAATTACATGCCCAAGACCCATTTTAATACTGTTATATACCTTACGTATCTCTTGTTACTTCAAGTGTTTACAATCACGTGATTCACACATGAACATTATCACCGGTGATTAAGAACAATTAAACTTTGTAGGTGATCAACAGGGCAAAGTAACAACTCAAAAAAAGTGTTACAAACGAACATGTGTTAACAATTAATACACGTTTTTCCAAGCTCGTGACAATCCGCACTCTTTTATCTCACTACAGAAAACCTCGAGTTTTTTTAGATTCTTTGTCAAGTTATCGATATTACTTATTCACTGACAGGAGCGCCACTCCCAATTTCCGACTCCCGGCAGAACTAAAAAAACATCGGTAAGCTGATTTTACTATTTTTATGTAGCGTCACTTAACATGTATTAGGAAATCCTTGTAAGGCTAGGCAGTCACAACTCCGTCCCGGTTATCAATTAACGCGCTGTATTTCGTTTATACTCCACACGAATAATACGTAAGTAATTCCGCAATGACAATGGGACCAGTCACCACCATCTTGGAAGCGTCTCCATCTGGCCGTACTTTCGACATATCCACCACTGATAAAATTACCAACATTAGAGCTAAAGGAAGAATGTGTGACTGATGCGATATTTCAACTAGATATCCCTCTCATAATCATTTGCACCCGACAAACTTTTCAGTTGTTACAGTTGGTGTGATTTGAAAAGAAGCGAGCTTTGGTCGTGGTGTGCGCACGCGCAACGGACCCAGACTGCCTGCACTGCTATGCTCAGCCTTGTACGTGCGCATGCAACGCGCGAACACTTCGTGTATCCACGAAACGCTATCTCGGGTACACAAAACAAAAGTCTTTGACACTTCAATAATAAAAACCTCTGACACATGATTTCACAGTAACACCTCTTTTCGGGATCAGAACATCAAAGATATACCGACATGATGGTCGTATTTTGGGTTATAGCGCCGTGTGGTCTCGTAAACGTTTGTCAACGTTTCAGAGGTCCTAGCTGCCTCCATCATCAGACTACACGGCGCTGAAACTCAGAAGACAGCCATCTTCGTTGACTGTACTTCGGCAAGACCTCGCAAGGCAACATACATCACTGAGGGCTGCAATTACCAATAAAACATGTGGAATTTAATTTCTCAGTAAGCTTTGTTGTGAGGGTAATATTATTAAAACAGGATGTGAGGGCGTGAGATGGATTAATCTGGCTCAGGACAGGGGGACAGTGGCGGGGTCCTATAAACACGGTAGTAATATGGTTTCGTAAAAAAAAAACATGCAAATGTTTGTCCAGCTGGACAACTATTATCTTATCAAGTACACGACTGTTCCACGAAATTAGTAAGAAAACGCTTCTGATTTAACGTTCTGAAAAGAAGCGATTGTACCACAGAACACATTATTCTTTCAGCTGAGAGGACCAGGTATACTTGAGAGACGCTTTCGAGCTTCGTTGACCATTACAACAGACGTTGATCGCCAGCCAAACGAGGTACGGGGACAGAGGGAAAGCAACAGACTACTTCGACAATTGCACTTCTGACCAACGTACAGCTACGAGACATGCGCATATGGCAGAGAGTCGTGGAACAGTGTTGCAATACAGCAGTGACAGCCTTGTCAAATTCATGCATCGTGAAAGTAACCTTATATTTGTCACGGAGACGACGTTTTTTGGGATAGAAACACGTATCTATACAAAACAGTGTTCATTGTAGCATAGCATAGCGTAGCCAGGCGTGACCTCAGCGTAAATCATCCTACAAGTTACCTGGACGTGATAATCCCGAGTAATCAATTCCACAGTTCTTGTACCT